GCCCAGAGGGGCCAGGCTTGCCTCCGGGGAGGTGACCCGGGACGTTGGCCGCGGCTGCCTCTGCCTCCTCCTCACGTGCTGCTGGGCTGCATTGCGTCCCCCCGCCCCCCACAACCTAACCCCAGGCCCTCAGGGGCCCCTTGGGACAGGCTGGTGCAGGTAGTAAATTAAGATGCGGTCACCCTGGGTGGGGCGGCCCGATCGAGGGGACATCTGGCTGCAGACACAGGGACGGCCACTCGCCCAGGAGAGGCCCTGGGAGGCCCGCACGCCTGCTGGGAGCCCAGCGTCCAGGCCTGAGGGAGGCCCAGTCACTCAGGCTGGTCTCTGGGCTCTGTCAGTCCCCCACCCGACCCCCCAGAAGGTGGGCCCTGCAGACAGGGCTCTAGACCTTCGGGGTGAGAGGGGCGCCCACAGGCCCTCCTGCTGGGAGCTGGCTGCTCGGTGCCTCCGCCTGCCCAGCCCTCTCACAGGAAGGGGTGGGGGGGGGCGGGTTGTGGGCTCAGTGAGATGGAGGGGAGGGTATGACTGTCAGTATCGAAACCCGAAACGGTACACGGCTCCACCTACCCCATCCGCCCTCCCACAGCCTGTACAGGGTACACGGCTCCACCTACCCCATCCGCCCTCCCACAGCCTGTACAGGGTACACGGCTCCACCTACCCCATCCGCCCTCCCACAGCCTGTACAGGGTACACGGCTCCACCTACCCCATCCGCCCTCCCACAGCCTGTACAGGGTACACGGCTCCACCTACCCCATCCGCCCTCCCACAGCCTGTACAGGGTACACGGCTCCACCTACCCCATCCGCCCTCCCACAGCCTGTACAGGGTACACGGCTCCACCTACCCCATCCGCCCTCCCACAGCCTGTACAGGGTACACGGCTCCACCTACCCCATCCGCCCTCCCACAGCCTGTACAGGGTACACGGCTCCACCTACCCCATCCGCCCTCCCACAGCCTGTACAGGGTACACGGCTCCACCTACCCCATCCGCCCTCCCACAGCCTGTACAGGGTACACGGGCATTAACACCCACCACCACAGTGTACACACCGGGTGCCAGCATCCCAGCAAGGACACAGCCTGGGGTCGGTCTGTCCCTGTCCCAGGCTCAGACGGGCGGGAGACACAGGGCAGGAGGCAAATGACCCTCCACAGAGCACCTGCAGCCGGCGACCAGTCACAGCTCAGAACAGCTGCCTGGTGGCTGGTGCACCCGAGGCCACAGCCCAGGGCCCGGCTTCCCTGGGCCCAGAAGTGGCAGAGCTCG